AGCGAAGCAGATTTTAAAGAGCATATAGCCCTGCAAGTATGGCTCAGTGGTTGAGCTCTGACCCATGAATCAGGTGGCCAGGGTTCGATTCCCAGTCAGGGCACATGCCTGGGTTGTGGGCTCAATCCCTAGTAGGGGTGTATAGCATATAGAAGGCTGCCCATCAATGATTCTCTATCATCATTTAGGATTCTATCTTTCCCTCTTCCTCCCAGAAATCAATAATAATAATAATTTTTTTTTTTTTAAAAAGAGCTAAAGCTCAATCATGAGATTCCAGCAAAGCAAGTTTTTAAAAGCCTATATAATCAATTGCTATTCTTATTGTGTTTATGCAAATAACCAGGGCAAATGGAAACTAAACTTAATGTAGTAAATAAATTGGTCTTAATTTGGCTCATTAATAAAAATGAGGGTGATTTTAGGGGGAAAATTTGTTTCAGCAGACTCTGTAATACACAGTTGTTAATATTGGTCTCCAATTCAATTAATTGTCTTTGAAGTTTCATTTTTCACTTATGAATTGAACTAAATCCTAAATTTACCTATTTTCTTAAATATTTAGCTACAACTCTCTAAATTAATGCTTCATTTTCTCCCATCCTTTGACTTGGAATCAGTGAGCACTAAAACATGTTTCTCTCAGCCTACAACAATACGACTCAGCAAATGATGTAACTAACCTACCTGAGGTGAGTGGGGGTGGGGTGGAGTGGGAATCTAGTGAGACTATGTTGCATACTCTTCTCTCTTGCATCAAGGTTCCCTCATCTTGTTTCGAAAGTAAGACTATCTTCCTTTTTAAGGCTGAGTTTTACATCTAGGCTTAGTCTCATTTCCTTCCACTCTCTTTCAAGACACCACTGTCTGAAATAGCATCTTCCCCTGTAGTCACTTTAATCATTTCCTCTCTATTGGCTCCTTTCCTTCTCAATGTACATATGGAGAGCCCTTTGGTGAAATATTATGAAATATTATTCAGGCCAGTTTCTGAAACAGCAGAGGGCACACCAATTCTGGGGGGAAGAGGGAGAATGAAGTGTGTTAAAAAATGAATTTCTAGCCCTAATCGGTTTGGCTCAGTGGATAGAGCATTGGTCTTAGGAGTCAAGGGTCCCAGATTTGATTCCAGTCAAGGGCATGTACCTTGATTGGGGGTGTGCAAGAGGCAGCTGATTGATGTTTCTCTCTCATCAATGTTTCTAACTCTCTATCCTTCTCCCTTCCTCTCTGTAAAAAATCAATAAAATATATTTTTTAAAAAATGAATTTCTACATGTTATTAACAGATCTGATTCATTAGCTCTGGGAAAACCACTCGTTACATACATACAACAAACCAGCGATTGTACTTTAAGAATAAATTAGGATTATATTCAAGTTTATATTACATATAACTTTTTTGGAAATAGGTAAAAAAGGCATTTACGTTTTATGATAAAATAATTGGGTTGTATAAGTAAAAAAATTAATGAATGTAAAAAATTACTGAATGTAACATCTATCTAATCAAAGGTATTAATTACAAGTCTGTGCATTGACATGTAAATGTGTGACTTGGCACCTGTGTGTTATGATAACCTTAGGAACCTCAAGAATGCGGGGAGCTTCCAAAGATGCCTGAAGAAGACCATCCATTAACTTGAGTAATATTCAAAGTAATATTCACTTTGGGAATAAAAAGTATCAAAGATTCAGAGAAAATTCCAAAGTGATAAATCCTAGATGCAAAGAGGATCATTAATGGCATAAAAGGTAAACACACAAAAAAGACTGAGAAAGCTGAAAATAAAATGATTGATCTGGCATTCCTTAAAGTCCAGCTATGGGAAATGGTAATCCCTTGTTTATCCATCTGAAAATTCTCAATTGTATGATGCAAGAATAATCCTGGAACGTTATGTTGAACTATAAAGTCTAATAAACATTCAAATCACCACCTCCGTCTATTTGTGATTCTTCCTGAAATACTTGAGATCTTAGTCCATGAAAGAATATATTTGCTTTATTGACGCTTTACCTTCTGGGAAAACCCAACCAAGGTAAACACACTTTACTTGACCTCAAAGCTAAGCTTTAGAGTCCACTAAAGCTGTCATCTCATTTCTTTTTCTTTCATTCATTCACATTTACTGAAGATTTGACTAATAGCATTTTTTTAAATTAAAAATTCATACTTTAAATCACTTGGACACAGCTTCTAATTATTCTGTTGAAATGACACCAAAAGGTCAATTGACTAAGTCTATTCACCTGGTTAACTTTTCACACATGCCAACAACCAAATCTTTGAAAGTTTCCCCCTTTCCACTGTCAAGCTGTAATATTCTTAGTTTTCTTCTCAACTCTGGCCCATTTAACCTCCTTTGTTGGCTCTTATTCCTCTTCCCAAAATGCAGAAAATCCCCTAAGAGTTCATACTAAGCCCTTGATTTTTTAAAAAATATATATATTATTGATTTTTTACAGAGAGGAAGGGAGAGGGATAGAGAGTTAGAAATATCCATGAGAAACATCAATCAGTTGCCTCCTGCACACCCCCTACTGGGGATGTGCCCGCAACCAAGAGACATGCCCTTGACTGGAATCGAACCTGGGACACTGCAGTCCACAGGCCGACGCTCTATCCACTGAGCCAAACGGGTTAGGGCTAAGCCCTTGATTTTTATCTGTATCTAGGATTGGTTGGTTGCATTCCTATGCCTGACTCATCAATTTTGCTGATCTCTATCTCTAACCCTGATGTCTCAACTTCAGTCCCACATTTTCAGATTGACTGCTGTACATTTCCACTCAAACATCACCATAAGTTCACTCTTTAAAATAAAACTCCTTATTACTGTCCTAGGAAACCAGCTGTTCACCCTGAATTCCTTATTTCTGTTAATGGCACCATCTCTACAAACTCAAAGGCTTAGATACTTCAGTGAGCGTCAGCTGATCTCCCCCAATCTTTGACAAAAATCATCGTTGCATTTGGCTGATCCTTCCCTCCAAATGTTTCATGTATCTATCTGTTCATTGTTTTCCAGTCCCATAGCCAGCACCCTGGTATAAGTCTTTTAACTTTATGTCTGAAATCCCTGACAAGGAGCTCCCACAAGTCTGGAGGCACAAACTCCTCACATTGGTACACTCAAGACTCTCTTCAATTTGGACTTATTTCTGGGGGCAGACAGTGCAAGGACAAGACTAGATTCTCCATTGATCTCACCTTTGCTCATATGAGCTCTTTCCAGAAGATTTTGATAAAGTTTCTAATACTTGCTAGTCTATTCAAATGCCACCAACATTTCTGGGCAATTTAACTTCCATATATATATCACTATACCTTCCCAGAAAATTCTAGCCCATAACTCTTCTTTTTATTTAAAGCCCTTGTACTGTATCCACTATACACATCTATGATACCTGCTGTTTTACTACTTTTGCCATGCGTGTATATAGAGTAGACATTAAATGAACTATTTAAAATCACTGACTAAAGAACTATTACAACTCTGATTTAGAAACGCCCTCATTTCTATAGGTATTACTTTCTATATTTTGATGAGCAATAAAAGCAATGAAACTTATTATAGGCATAATTTTTAAAAACAAACCAGATCTAGTCTATAGAATATTACTGAGGATTATTTCCTAGCAACCCCACTGGTACTTCTGAACAATCCCACATTCCAAATTAATAGTACTCTTAAGATACAACTTGCAATAGCACTATTAAGTTTTGGTTCATATTCCATATGTTCATTAGGCATTTTTAGACACTATGACATAATCTAAGCACTGTATCACTGGATTATGCAACATCAATATTCTTGGGAGAAGGGAGTTAGTGGAATATGCTTTCCAGTGCCTACTATGTGATATGTTGATTTGTGATAATGGCTCTCCAGTACAGGAAGAGGTCCCTCACGTAACGTGCCTTCAGAAAGTCAGTCAGTGTATGAAGCTTTTCAAGGTGACCTTAGAAGAGTAATTTGCCATCTTTAGATCAGTAGCTGTCATCACTGTCTAAAAGCTGCAGGTATCACAGATGACACTTCCAAACAGAACCTGATGAAATGCAAATCTCACAAAAGAAAGTAAGATTTTAAAAAATACAATGTTAGACATTTAACTATAGAAGCTGCAGCTTAAAGAAAGTTTAGGATACAAGGTCAATATGTTTACCAGATAAAAAATTTCAAGGCAAATATCCCCAAACTTTCTCTTGAAATTTCTAAAACTTTTCCTAGAATCCAGGAGTTTGAAAACTCAAGAAAACATTTACTTCTTCTGTTTCTTTCTTTCTTTTTTTTACCCCTTCTGTTTCTGTGTTTAGGCTGCATAAATCCTTTCATGGGATAGCAGAGGCTAAGATCCACTTGAGGAGGAAATCTTTACGACTAAATAAAGAGCTTTCTCTTCTTTGGCTAAGAATATGGTTATATTCACCTGAACTCAAGGAGAATATGATGCAATTTTATTTTATAGTGGTTATACATGTTATTTTAAAC